TTGTTGTTGTTTTGACTGAGAAATTTCCTTGTGTCCCAAAAACGCACATTATTTGGAACTGTGCGTCCCGCGGGAAAATTATGCATCTAGGACGCGGGACGCAGAGGTAACGAGATGGCTGTGGAGCTCCGCTAAAGTGAATACAATACAATACAGCTTTACTTATATTGAGTCTTCACAACCGCTGCAGCTCTAACAAAGCTATGAGAAATGGTCACAAACACGGACATGAAACACATATCGTATTTTCCGGACTATAAGTCGCTCCGGAGTATAGGTCGCCCCAACCATAAAATGCATAACAAAGAAAAAAAAAACATATATTCAATAATCCCTCATTTATCATGGTTAATGGGGACCAAAACCACCCGCGATAAACGAAAATCCGCAAAGTAGCGACCAATTAACATAAACACGTAAAAAAATATATATATTTTTTTAAAGTCCGCAAACGGGCCGCGAGAAGCTGCAAAACAACAGCGAGTCACACAGAGCAACATATACAGTACTGTACTCCATGTATATTTAAAAATGAGGGATCACTGTAAATCGCACTGGATTATAAATCGCATTTTGGGGGAAAATTTATTTGATAAAATCCAACACCAAGAACATACATGCCATCTTGAAAGGCAATTTAAAATAAAAATAAAATCGAAAACAACACGCTGAATAAGTTACATGACGCATAAACAACGAACTGAGAACATGCCTGGTATGTTCAAGTAACATATTAATTATCAAGTTATTCAGATAACTATAGCATAAAGAACATGCTCACAAGTTCACCAAACCATCACTGTCACTCCAAATCACTAAATCCAATGAAATCTTCATCCTCTATGTCATTTTAAAACAACTCCACCAACTCCGTAGGTAGAAGATGCAGCGCTTCCTCTTCTACGTCACTTACGTCAGACTCATCGTGGTTTTATCAATACAGGTCTAGAGCGGCCTCTTGTGGTTTAATGTGAAAATAACGTGAAATGATATACGTACAGTGAAAATCCTCTACAACGAAATCATGTTTGCAGCAAGAATTTTTTCACAACAGGGGGTTTTTCACTAGCAAATTTCATCTCAGATGTCAGCGCACACACACACACACACACACACACACACACACACACACACACACACACACAAACGTATGTGATAATGTCTTTTATTTTGCTTCCTCAGTCTTTAATTTTGATCACTTTTCCCCTCTCTTCCAGCGTCAGAGCTCTTCTTGTCTTAGCTGCTTGACATCCAAAGGTCCGTTTTGTAGCCATTTTAGCAATGCAACGTTCATGCTGCGTCTGAATCTAACAATAACAAATACTTCCTGGACCCGGTGGATTTTCTTTCCACCATCTCACTGTCTCTAACTCGACCTCCCCTCGATCGCCACCCAAGACAGCGTTGCTCAGCCGATGTCATGCAATGAACTCTTAAGCCAGCCACGGGACGCTTCGTAGTCCTCGATGGCCATAGTTAGCGCGATGGAACTCGCCTTCTCTCTAATTAGCGCTCCAGTTAGCGTAAGGTTTTTAGCTTGATAAAAGGTAAAGCATTCCAGGAAACGTTCGTTTATTTGACTGTCTGTCGAGCCACAAGCAATTTACTCTGAGCAGCTAATCGGATGCATTCCACTCTATCTTCCACGGATCTAGCGACAGTATCTACACACATAGACAGTGAGGTCCCTCTTGGCCAATCGGAGGCCAGGATGATGCTCGGTAAACCAATGGCAGAGCAACTATGAGTATGTTGCATTCAGGAAACTCGCAGCTGTGAACGAAATAAACATCGTTCACTATGTAAACCAGTGTGGTGGTTGCTGTTGCCGTTTCTGAACGAAGCAGTAGAGGTCACTGTTGGATTAGACTTCATTGTAGTGAATATCTTCGCGAGGCTGGAGCAGAGAAAATGATTTCGTATAATGCAACAGGGTGTTTTTCGTCGTATGGGGGGCAGGAGAATGGGAATGGTGTTAATGCATGAAGATTTTTTTCACATTAGGGGGTATTTTCGCCCATGTAGGTTTCGTTCTAGAGGAGTTTCACTGTAATAATGTGTTAATAATTTCACCCATAAATCGCTCCAGAGTATAAATCGCACCCCCAGCCAAACTATGAAAAAAACTGCGACTTATAGTCTGGAAAATACAGTAAGTACAAAATGGCATTACAAAGCGATAAATGAAAGACAAAATTTTGAGGACAATTGATTCAACAAAAAGGCACACAAACCTCGTGTGTCACGGTTGTTTTCGGTCTGGCCAGCAGGTGGCATGAGCGGTCTTCGGGGTGCACACCTGCTGCCAATCTTTAATTATGAGACTCTGTATTTAAGGAGTCTTCTGCTGTGTGCCTGTTGTCGGAGTATTGTTTATTGCATTGCTACTTCCACGCTCGTTGACCTGTTGTCTGTTATCGTTCTCGTCGTGTTTATCGCTCTAGCATCTCGGGACTATTTTCTCTGCTCGGCAGACTTATATTTTACATATTGGATTTTTCTCGCGTGTTTTTCTATAGGTTGTTTTTCTTTGGCATACTCGGTTCTATTTTTGTTCCCTTGCCTTTTGTATGCAAGCGCTTTTTGTTAGCCATTCTTATTATAAACATTAAACTATTTTGTTTGTCACAGAGATCTTGTTGACGTCTGCGATTATTGGGATCCAAAACCTTATTCGGCTCGCCCGAAATCATGACATCGTGGGCTCACATCCACAAGGGGCCAAATATCCTCAGAAGTCTTGCTTGTCTCCTTCCTTCGTTTAGTCAGGAGTTAACTCTGCTTTTGTTCTTATCTTGGTTTCATAATGGCTGCGCAGAGCTCACAAAGTAGTTGTCTGTTTGAGTGTGTGTTGGCGAAAGCACATGTCAATTAGTGTTCAGCAGAACCCATTTAGGTTACAATTGGTTCCCGCTCATAATCACCACTAGATGGCACAGGAACACCAACAGGGGAACAACTCAACGGGGAATATAAAGAGAGTTACACTCTCTTTATATTAGGTGCACCGGATTATAGGGCGCACTGTTGGCTTTTGGGAAAATTGAATGCTTTTAAGTGTGCCTTATTGTGCGGAAAATATGGTAATACCCATACCTAATATTGCAGCACTTGCGGCTTTTATTGCAGAACTCAATATTTTTAGGTAGGCTTCTATTAGTGTGGCACATCTCGATCTTGAAAGGCTCCAAATCTGTCAATTTGCCATAGCATCTCCTTTGCACAGCCCTCTTCAAATCACCCCGCGGTGTTTGATCGGATTCAGGTCTGGACTCTGGCTGGACCATTCCGAAACCATAATCTTATCCTGCTGAAAATATCCTTTGTTGATTTGTAATGCCTGCTTCTTGTCAGTAGCGGAACACCAAAATGTGTGCCCCCTCCATAAACTTTGTCAGGACTGAAAAAGATTGACTGTTACCATCGTCTTAGTTTATGTTTTTCACCTCTCAACCAAGAAGGCTGATAAAGCCTTCGCATTTGTGCCCAACAGAATGCCCTGAGAATGAAATGACTTAAATGAATGAAAATATTCACAAACACCCCTTAAAACAGTCAGTTTCGCCTTCCCCGAAGAAAGCTATTGATTGTAGGGAGCTCCGAAATGGTAACCGATTCTTTCTGCCTTTTTTTACGGGAAATACTTCCTTTTTATTTTCAAATACCTCTCTACTCCCATTATAATTTTGACACTTAAGTCTATATCATGATTGCTACCAGTACTGTGAATGAATTCAATTGATGCCATGTTATACCTCATTCTCCATTTGAAGCAAGTTAGGCTATGACAAAAATATGAAAACCAGTTTACATATAATCGAACGTTCATGTACATACAAGTTTGAACATTTTTGGTTAAAACAACCCATAATGTGGTTTTACATACTTTATTACATGTAATTACATGTATACAGTATGTATGACAGCAAGCAGTCGTTCTTGCTTTACTGTACCAGTTAAAAAAAACAAAACTCTCCCTTACACAGCCTCTTCAGTGTTCTAACATTATTAGGGCAATAGCTTTGAATATTTTAACGGTATGATGTCGATTTCTGTCATACAGTATTTGTAAATGTGAATGAAAATAGTGAATCTTGTCCTGGAGCTTGATTTGGAATAAAAAAATCACACTACTGTATTTGTCTGTTCACTGCACATACATTGCTTGTTTGGAGGCTGGTATGCCCAGAGATGCATTTGCATCGCATGATGTGTATCGTTTCTCTTCTGTGCCGTGACTCTTAAGTGTTACGACATGTTAAAAAGGAAGTTGGAATGAGAGCTCCAGGTTGTAGGTCATATCAAAGTCTCGGTCTCCTTTTTTTAATATCACAAACATTTGGCATTTGTGTCGAGTTTTTCACATCCATTTTGATTTCTTTTGAATAATTTTGTGCCCCAAATGCGGTTTCATGTATTTTTAATCATTTACTCATTACAGAGAAAGCAACTGAGGAATGCATCTCGCTACAGTATTTGATTTTCTTCAGAGCTGACTTTGACTCTGTCGTGCTATTTTTGCTGTGTGTGTTTCCTGGCACAAAAGAATTGACAACCTTTAGTTCACCTATCATTTCAAAGCAATTCTGAAACTTTTTTATACTCAGAGTGGAAATTAGCAATATTTTGTCTATAATGGTCGGTTTTTGATGTGGTACCAATTTTTTTTTTTTTTGACAGATTGTGCGAACACTTTGCCTCTTTCTTACTGCTGCTGAGAAGAAAAGTTCTCGCCTCTGCAAGGCAGACTCATCATTCAAATACGATACAGGCCTCTTTGTTCAGGGTCTGCTCAAGGTAAGCCCCCTCTAAAATATGAAAATATCGAATTAGACATAACCCATTTACGGTCTGTTTCGTATATTTTGGGTAATTGCTAACTCTACTGATGTCTTGCTCCATAATTTATTGCTGTTTTTGAAGATCTTTTTGCATAAAGGTGCTCGAACACACAAAAGTAGGCTAAATTGCATGCACCGAAATATTCCCTGCAGTGCATTTACAGTATACAGTGGTACGTCTACTTACGAACGTCTCTTCATATGAAAATCTTTAAGTAACGAAACTCTTCAACAGGAAAATATTGGCTATTGTTATGAAAGAAATTTCAAAATACAAAACGCAAAAATACAGAATAGGCTGCTTTTCGCCGCTCCGAGTTTCCTGAACGCAACATACTTATTGCTGCTCTGCCATTGGCTATTCCCGAGCATCATCCTAGCATCCCATTGGCTAAGAGGGACCTAGACCGAATGTGTCTATGCAGCGTCCTCGTCATTCGCCCCTCGGGCCATGAGGCGTTCCAATTGTTTTACGTAAATGTGAATCACCCAGAAAAGTGTTCACCAGTCGGGCGATCGCTCATGATGCTGATGTTTGCCTTGGACATTTTTGAACATGTTGTCAAAAGCCGACAAAAGCAAACATCCTTGGATCAGTTCTTTACAAAATGCCAGGCCAAAACCACTTCTGAGAGAGAACATGACCTAAAAAGGCCCCAGAAAACGAAGATTAGGTTAAAAGTTAAATGACTACTCTATTCTTTGTTTTTTACACTATGCACAACTCTCATTTATTGTGCAATAATCTAATTGTAACATGTATTTGTTACATATTTTGATGCATTTTTATGCTTCCCAAAACATTTATGTCAGAATTTTGGGGGGCTTGGAACGGATTAGGGCATTGACATGGAAAACGAATCTCTACTTACAACATTTTCTATTGAAGAAATTTCTTCCAAAACGTATTAATTTCATAAGTCGAGGTACCACTGTGCTCCCAACCCGAACTTTTGAGCTATGAGGACTCATTGTGGTACAAACTGTCTGTTCAGCAGTTTCTTGTTTTGACAGATTTTATTCATGGAAATGGGAACAAGCAAAAAGGGACACGCCACAAGGGAAAATGATAACCTGCTTCCCAGAAGAGAAACTATTCTTTCAATCTTATTTTGCGCACACATTTTGTACCCACTGATTGAAGTCTTTTGTGCATTCTGGTTTTGCTGACGTGAGACCCCGTCAATGCTTTGAAATAGTTTTCAGTCTATGGGTGTTTTTTTCTTTTCGATCCGTAATCTGTTCAGATACCTTTTTTCCTTTTGACATGGGAGTTTAGGTAAAGTAACGTTGGGCAAATCAGTGTGTGTATTTCCATTCATTCCTTTTGCTTTTTCTGTTTTCCAGGACTCCACTGGTAGCTTTGTACTGCCCTTCCGCCAGGTCCTCTACTCACCTTACCCGACTACACACATCGACGTGGATATCAACACAGTCAAACAGATGCCACCGTGTCACGAGCATACTTACAACCAACGTGGCTACATGCGGTCCGAGCTGAATACACTTTGGAAGACGGACAGCGAAGAGGATATCCCTCCTGACACTGTCATCCCCACCGATGACACGTTCACACCTGACTTGTAAGCCGTCATTTTTCTGCGTTTTATTTTTTTTAAAAATCAGACTTATACCAAAACAACAATACAGTGTACCTCTTTGTTCGTAGGAATATATTTCAAGATGTTTTGCATAAAGATACTTTGGTGAAGTCATTTATAGACGAGGTAAGTTAATAGTAGGTTCACTCTTCCATTTTATGCACTGCATCAACTTCTCATATGGGTACCGTGACGGGGCGTATATTGGACTGACACACTATTTCGAGAGTTGTAACATTGCTGTACATAAGATGGAACATGTAACACAAAACACAATAAATGAAAGAATCACAATAATATATCAATAGCGTAAACTAATCCATAAATAGCTTGATTTGATATTTTTTGTCACACCCAGGTGTTCATGCTGAAGCCCGGCCTTTCCCTGCGCAGTGCCTACTTGGCTCAGTTCCTGTTGTTGCTCCACAGGAAAGCCCTCACATTGCTAAAGTACATCGAAGATGAGACGTAAGAGTTGTTGACCAATTTCCACTTTTTTTTGTGGGGGTGCGGGGGCAGATTCCGAATTGTACCACCATAGGGGCATTCAAATTAAGACTTTTCACTGGCCTTCGCTTGGAAAGCACCACACATAAAAGTAATCCAGTTCTTCATTACAAGTTATACCAGAGCTTCGCTTTACTTCGAGGCCATATTCTCATACAGTATTTGTTTTTCGGCCCGATTTTTCTCTGCTGAGTTTTTGTGACAGAACTAATGACCAAAGCTTCGGCCAAACTTTCACAGTTAAAGGAAGAGAATTATTGACAGCTTTTCCAGGAATTGTTGAGTTTGGTCTGTGACCAGTTTGGGGTGCCCAAAGTCATGGAGGCGTAGGTGTCAGATCATACGGTTTGCTGCCATGCACACAAAATAAATCAATCAATAAAATCTGTTTATTATATAAAAATTGGAAATCAATTGGTTGTTCATTATGACGTGAGATGTATAAAGTAAAAGTATCCTTTACCACAAAACCTGATCATTTTATCAAATTTTCAGTCGCATACTAGCATATTGAAATATATATATTGTTGTTGTTCCTGGGAGTAACCTGCAAAAATTTGCTCTTTACTAAAATGAATTCACTGATTAGCCAAATTAACCTTCAAAGGAGAAGTTATTTAAACCATTCTATTATTATTTTAACTTGTGCAGATTTTTTTATTCAAATATATTTATTTTGCAATAATATTGTGTTATTTTATTATCATTTCATACATGGCAATGGCGAGTGATGAAAAAAGCGGAAGAGGCGTGGCCTGGACGTGGGCGTGGCCTGGACATGGGCGTGGTTACTTACAAAAGTGGCACTAAACATGCTGAAGATGAAGTGTATTAAATTTACAGTTTGAAAATTGAACAGAAAAAAATCCCAAGATCGCCACTATTCGTTCAAGTGAAAATTTGTGCAATTTTGCCTATGCATTCCTGGTGAGCACCAATATGTAACTCCAATTTTGCTGCTCAAAATCAAAACTAAAAAAGTAAACACATCCCCT